TTTACATAAAATAAATGAACATAGATAATTATTATTTATCATTTTGAAAAGTGGGAAATTTTGGGACACCTAGGTCGCAAAAAATTTCCCCCTTCGTTCCTACCACTGCAAAATCCACAATTGCCTGGATTATTAATTTAAAATGAAATAACATCACCAGGAAGCGGGAAATATAAAATTTGTGGACTGTATATTAAAAATAATAAAGGGTTTAAGATACACATATACATAACAAAAGGAAATATTTTAAAAAAATCCTCCCCAAATTTAACTGGAATTAAGTTTATCATATCAAAAAAACCCTGTCTATACAAAAAATAACAACTGGCCAAGTTATAACATAACAATTTATCTGGGGTTCCGGGATTCTCCTGTCCTGTCGCCTAATCTCAAGTTATGGGGGAAGCACACCCCAAAAATTTCCCTCCTATTTGAAGGTTCAGCCCAATTTAACCTCTAGAGCATAAAAATTCTTCCATTCATTAACGTTCGTTCAATTCAAACAACAAATGGGACCCCTCTTTTTAAAAAAACACTTTTTAAATACAAATAGGGGATCATTTACCTATAAAATTTCAGTATTTCCGGGGAAAAATACATATTTTCCACGAGTTTTTAAACTTTCAGAGTCTGTGTTTTAAAGGGATTTGATGAGCTGTATTTTTCTGACTAGTTTGATCAACAGATGTGTGTAGGGAAATTAAAACAATTTGCCCCCTTAGATTTTCGTGGCAGCCTTTGTTATCGTAGTGATCTATGTTAGACCTACTACTGGCTTATGGCTATACCCCAACAAAAGGGTTTGGGGTCCCTCCAAGATACATCTATTGCTGCAAAAGCCCCTTTTCCATATGCCCTATTTATCCATCCCCACGTATGCTATTTGTGCTTGGGGTCAACGCAGCAACCACCTAAAGCCAAAATAACCCAATAAAAGCCCAGTAAGAAAATCACAAATCCCATCCCCGAAAAACCCCCCCCCACTCTTCATAATCTAAACTTACTCCCTGTTAGTACATCCCACTTTCACGTGCAATCTACACTACAGGACCTTAAATTCCAATATTAACCTCGACCTAAAAAAGCTTTCTTGAAGTTTGTACAGAACCCCAGGGGATAACACCCGACCAAACCCTCTATGACATTCCGGGTCCCCTAAACCTTTACAAAATTCAATTATGTCAAAGGCCCTAAAATCTGGGAAAAACCCTACCTGAAACCTAGATCTGCAGACACATTTATCACCCCTTTAAAATACCATTAGAAAACATCTTATCTCCCTGATACACCCCTAACTAATTACACAATACCCCCTGGTGGGTTTACTTACACCCCACCACCCATTCGCCCAAAAAAAAGAAAAATCAATCCAAACTTAAAATAAAGAAACCTCTAGTCATAAGTTGGCTGTGATACTCCAAACGAAACTATTATTGGGCCAAAACAAAACATTCACATTGCTAAACCCCAAAAATATAATTTGGTCACTTTGCCATAATACCAACTTTCCCATAATTTTTTAAATTTTAAAATTTTAAAAATTAATCAAGCTGCCAAATGCCTACCATGCAAGGTTTCTAGTGGACACCTTTAAATTTTTATTTTAACATTAAAACCCCACAATAACCAAATTCGTAAACTCAGCATTGTAATCCTTATAAAAAAAATTTCAATTGAATTGAACTGAATTGAATTGAACTGTTTTTTGTTGTTGCCAAGCTTTTTGGGGTTATGCTTATACCCCTTTAATTTTGAGCAATATGCTTTGCTTGCCTTTTTTTAAATCTCTGACTTGTTCCTCACCCTTTTGGAATTCATTTGTGCGCAATATCCCGTTTGTTTGCTTTTAAATCTTTTTAGCAGCTGGTCTCGAATTTTAATTTTCAAAACCGTAGTCCCAGGGGTTTGTTCTTCGTTTAATACTAACTTTTAACTGGTGCAATATTTCAAGGATTAGGAACATGTTTTTTTAATTTTTCCCAGGGATCATTTACGTCCGGTGCAACTTGTTATCATGTCCAGTCACAATTTGGGAGCTTATTTACCAGTGTTTCTTTCTGTAGTTTCCCTTTATGTTGGTAGGGGCTCTTGATTTAGGGGAAATTGGGTCTGTGCTCCAGTTCCCCGAATTAAGCCTGAATGCCTTCCACATCCCCCCCCGACGCTGTAAACCTCTGGGTTTAGCGCTTCCCCCTTGATTATACAAAGTTTTTACAAAGTAGAAGTGATGCAAGGAGGGAAGAGTATATGGAGAAAAAGAGAGAGGTTAAAAGAGTGGTGAAGCAATGTAAAAAGAGACAAATGAGAGAGGGGTAAGTTTATCAAAAATTTTTTTGAAAATAAGAAAAAGTTTTGAGTGAGATTAACAAGTTAAGAAAGCCTCGAGAACAAAAGGGTTTGTCGGGTTAAAAATAGGAAGGAAGTTTTTTAAAAGGGAGTTAGAGTATTGGGGAAAAAGGAGGGAAAAATTTTTAGGAATTGTTAAATATTATGAAGATGAGAAGCTGGATTTCGGTATAGGGCAAGGAGGAATAACACTTTAGGGGGGAGGAAGAGCCCCTTGTGAGGGGGGGGAAATTTGGAGGCAGAGGGAAAATGAAAGGGGGGAAGGGGCCGGTTGATGGATAAAAATAGAAAGTTAAAAAACAGGTGGGGGGTATGTTTTTGGGGTGGTTGGTGCAATTTTTTAATAATGTATGGGAAAAGGGAAGGTACCTAGGGGGTTGGCAAGACAGCATAGTTCCTTGTATAAAGGGAAAGGGGGCAAAAGAGGTGCAAAAAAATTTTAGGGGGGTAAGTCGTTGAGTATACCTGGTAAAGTGTAGGTAGAGTTTTATTGAAAGAATTAAAAATAAGACTGGGAAAATATAGCAGATGAACAAAGGGGGCTTTAGGGAAAAGGAGGGGGTTGGGCCGGGGTTTACAGTGAAAACATATAAGTGAACATATTTAAAAAGGAAAGGGTCTTTGTGGCATTTATGGATTTTGGAAAAGGCTAGACAGGGGGGATAGGGGGGGAAGTGGCAGATTTGCAGGTGATGGGGTAGGGGGTAGGTTACTGAAGCGTTTTTCGAGGATAGTGAGGGTCAAGTTAGAGTACAAAAAAGGGGAAATTATTTTCCCCCTAAAAGTAGGCCCTTTGACAAGGAAGTTTGGGTGTCACCGTTTGTTTAATATATTTTTAGATGGGTTGTAAGAGAATAAATGCGAGGGTCTTGACAAGAGGCGTGGGGTTAAAAGACAAAGAAAACACTTAAAAATGGAGTTGCACAGTTGCTCTTTGCTGATGACCTGTGCTCTTGGGAGATTTTTGAAGAGAATTGCAGGAAATTGGGGGTGAAATTTTGGGAGGGGGTTTCAAAAAAGAAAATTAAAAAATGAATCGGAAAGAGTAAGGTTATGAGGATAACAAAAAGATTAGGTGATGAAAGATTGGATATTAGATTGGAGGGAGAGAGTATGGAGGAGGTGAATGTATTCAGATATTTGGGAGTGGACGTGTCAGCGGATGGGTCTTTTGAAAGATGAGGTGAATCATAGAATTGATGAGGGGAAAAGGGTGAGTGGTGCACTTAGGAGTCTGTGGAACAAAGTACTTTGTCCTTGAGGCAAAGAGGGGGATGTATGAGAGTATAGTTTTACCAACGCTCTTATATGGGTGTGAAGCATGGGTGATGAATGTTGCAGCGAGGAGAAGGCTGGAGGCAGGGGAGATGTCATGTCTGAGGGTAATGTGTGGTGTGAATATAATGCAGAGAATTCGTATTTTGGGAAAAGTTAGGAGGAGGTGCGGGATTACCAAAACTGTTGCCAGAGGGCTGAGGAAGGTTGTTGAGGTGGTTTGGACATGTAGAGAGAATGGAGCGAAACAGAATGACTTCAAGAGTGTATCAGTCTGTAGTGGAAGGAAGGGGGGGGTAGGGGTCGGCCTAGGAAAGGTTGGAGGAGGGGGTAAAGGGGGTTTGTGTGCGAGGGGCTTGGATTTTCAGCAGGCGTGCGTGAGCGGTTTGATAGGAGTGAATGGGACGAATGGTTTTTAATACTTGACGTGCTGTTGGAGAGTGAGCAAAGTAACATTTATGAAGGGATTCAGGGAAACCGGCAGGCCGGACTTGAGTCCTGGAGATGGGAAGTACAGTGCCTGCACTCTGAAGGAGGGGTGTTAATGTTGCAGTTTAAAAACTGTAGTGTAAAGCACCCTTCTGGCAAGACAGTGATGGAGTGAATGATGGTGAAAGTTTTTCTTTTTCGGGCCACCCTGCCTTGGTGGGAATCGGCCAGTGTGATAATGAAAAAAATAATAAATAATAAATAACAATACTGTAGTTTCCAGTTGACCTCATTTTTATTGTCCTGTGTAGGCCTCTCCTATCCCTAGTGATTTTCCTAGTGAGGCGGCCCCAAGGAGGTACACCTAGTTTATATGGGAACTTCTAGTTTTTTATTCTATTTGCAAAGGGACTCCTATTCCTTGTTCTTTTATGGCCCAGTTTTAGGCAGTAGCTTTTTTTTCCGTTCATACGTTAGTTATTTAGTTAGTTTAATATGTTTATTATGCACCCCATACCCATCCTGTGGGCGGTAGTCAAAAGATTACAGAGGTACATAATTGGTCCAGGGACTGGACTCCAAAGTTTTGATAGCTGAGCAAGTTACAAAGGTAATGAACTCCAGGTTGAGCTGGTCACACTCATGAATAATTGCAAAGGTAATGAATCATAAACACATTAATCATGAGAATTTACAAAGGTAATGAGCTCCAGGTAGAGCTGGTCACAGTCATGACAAGTTTCAAAGGTAATGAATGATAAACACGTTATGACATGATTACAATCATAGACAAATTACAGAGTAATGAGCAGTTAACAAACATAGTAAGGAATTCATCCAATGCCCCAACAACAGATGTTGCTAGGTGTTTGTCTCTCCTCGGTAGACAGCCATTGCAAACAGCAGCAAGTTGCCCCGGTACTGTTTAAGCCGTCAGTAGCCCTTATAAACCCAACAAGACCACTTCTACCACCTGGGTTTTTCCGGAGGAAACCAGGTTCCTTTGTATTTTCCTCCCATATTTAGGCAGTATTTTTTTCCCCGGGCATATGGGAGGTAGGCCTGAATAAATCGTTAGTTTGGTGGCTCTGGACAACATTTACAACACTACCACCTTCACCTGGGTTCATCATCTATAAAATGAAGTTCCGGGCCAAGATGATTGACATCACCTGTATTAAAGAGTTTTCTAGTGAGTTTGCGCTGTATGACCCTTGTGGGTTTAGCGCTTCTTTTTTATTATAATTATTGAGCTGTGACCGCGTGGGATGTCTTCTTGCCGGTGAGGGGCTCTTGATCCAAGAGGCTATCTCTTTCCTTGGATCGAATCATTGTAATCTTTATATAGAATAAGGCTTAGCGCTTCTTTTTTATAATAATAATAATAATAGTAATAATAATAATAATAATTTATATAGAATAAACTTTGATTGATTGATGCTATTCCCCAGGTGATATGTGATCCCTAAGGAAAAAACCCTTTAATAATTAAAATAATAATTATGTAATTACTACTGATAATAGTAATCATTAATAATAATAGTAATAATAATAATATGTAAAAAAATAATAATCATAATAGTAATAATTAATAATAATAATAATATTTAGTGAAGGGATTCAGGGAAACCGGTTATTTTTATATAACCGGACTTGAGTCCTGGAAATGGGAAGTACAATGTCTGCACTTTAAAGGAGGGGTTTGGGATATTAGCAGTTTGGAGGGATATGTTGTGTATCTTTATACGTATATGCTTCTAAACTGTTGTATTCTGAGCACCTCTGCAAAAACAGTGATTATGTGTGAGTGAGGTGAAAGTGTTGAATGATGAAAGTATTTTCTTTTTGGGGATTTTCTTTCTTTTTGGGTCACCCTGCCTCGGTGGGAGACGGCCGACTTGTTAATAAAAAAATAATAATAATAACAATAATAGCTATATAACCCTTGAAGGTTTAGCACCTCTTTTTGATAATAATAATGATAATAATACTTTCCCTTGCCCTCCCTTTCCCTAATTGAAATTTATTGCCTACTGTTTCATATTCCATACTTCTTATTACCTCTTTGATATTACTCATATTTGCCTGAAACTATAGAATCTTAATGCAAATAAAAGCTCTAAAAAATTTAAGTAACTACCAGAATTTAATTCAAAGAAAGAAGAACTGGCAAAATAGTCATTAAGCATTAATTTGGATATTCCAACAGAATGGTGGTTAATTGAGCAAAGACTATACAGTACTTCATTTTTTTCCAGTTACAATATTGTATTTATTATATTTTCTTAGTGGGCAATGGTAATGTGTTTAACCATTAATTAATGAGGGTATATAGCAACTTTTCAGCCTTCAGATGTTCTTACTATTACTCACTATATTGACTTGTCAAGAGCATCCTTTTGTAACATGTACAATGATATATTTAATCTACTTACATATACATCCATCAAATAATTATTTTTATACATTTAATGACTTTAAATACATATATGAAATGTTTATTGCTCTTACAGGCTTAAGCTTGCCCAAAATGCTCTTTATAACCATGGAGTTGTTGTATGCAGCCAAGTGTCATCCATTTCTGTATAAACATTGTATCATGTGGAAATATACTTTGACTTTAACTTTGACTTTGACACACAACTGCAGTTTTCAGATACGTATAGCTACCTGATGTTTATAAACATAACTTGTACTAGTGTGTTAAAAGAGTACTAATAGCAATTGTTGGTTTCTAAAGGATAAACATTTATTATCAGGTATACATTGCCATGATTGGGCAGTAAAAAAATAGACTACTAAATATTTTTTTTTTTTTTGGGTGTTACCTGGAGTTTACCTGGAGAGAGTTCCGGGGGTCAACGCCCCGCGGCCCGGTCCGTGACCAGGCCTCCTGGTGGATCAGAGCCTGATCAACCAGGCTGTTGCTGCTGGCTGCACGCAAACCAACGTACGAGCCACAGCCCGGCTGGTCAGGAACCGACTTTAGGTGCTTGTCCAGTGCCAGCTTGAAGACTGCCAGGGGTCTGTTGGTAATCCCCCTTATGTATGCTGGGAGGCAGTTGAACAGTCTCGGGCCCTGACACTTATTGTATGGTCTCTTAACGTGCTAGTGACACCCCTGCTTTTCATTGGGGGATGTTGCATCGTCTGCCAAGTCTTTTGCTTTCGTAGTGAGTGATTTTCGTGTGCAAGTTCGGTACTAGTCCCTCTAGGATTTTCCAGGTGTATATAATCATGTATCTCTCCCTCCTGCATTCCAGGGAATACAGGTTCAGGAAACCTCAAGCGCTCCCAGTAATTGAGGTGTTTTATCTCCGTTATGCGCGCCGTGAAGTTCTCTGTACATTTTCTAGGTCAGCAATTTCACCTGCCTTGAAAGGTGCTGTTAGTGTGCAGCAATATTCCAGCCTAGATAGAACAAGTGACCTGAAGAGTGTCATCATGGGCTTGGCCTCCCTAGTTTTGAAGGTTCTCATTATCCATCCTGTCATTTTTCTAGCAGATGCGATTGATACAATGTTATGGTCCTTGAAGCTGAGATCCTCCGACATGATCACTCCCAGGTCTTTGACGTTTGTCTTTTTATTTTCCGTTCTCCCTGTTTTGCATGAATGTGTTAGTTCAAGCACATATTTCATTCTACCTAACTAATGCATGTATTCCATACTTTCAGATATTGTGAGCACAATAGCAAAGTTAGCTAAACATTGTGTCCTTCGTATTTCCCAAGAACGCTTGTTCTTCATCATCCATGAAGCTGGAGCTGTAGGGAGCTCACCTGGCCTCTGGACAGAACTTGATCAAGGTCACTTCTTTAATGAGTTTAACATGGAAGGAGTTTCAGAGGAAAATAATGAGATATATCTTGACCTACAGCCAGGTAAAGCAAAATTTAGTCTTTTTTAATAATTACAATAATGAAACAGTAGATCAATTGAACATTATGGTGTCACGTTACACTTCCCCTTTTTCTGAAATTCAGCTGCTAGACAAAGGGAAAAGAATCACTATCCAATCCTTTAGGGTTCCTCCCATAGTTGATTATGTCAGTTTATTTGAAGGAAATTGAACCATCTTAGGGGGTGTCAGGTGACTCTCTGGTTGGATATTGGGTGGCCATATTCTAGGGCCTCTGATAGTGTCAGTAATTCTGTGGTCTGTAGATTCAGGAGTGACAACTAAAGGTGTGTGGTACCTGGCATTTTTCTGGTTTTTGTGTCATCATAATTAGCTGAAACATGCTCGTTCAGTTAGTTGGAAGAGTTTCTGTAAGTCAACAGTAAGAGATGCTTTTGTGATGTTGTGCACTTTGTAGTATAAGAGGTGATTTCCAGTAACAGCAGCAGTACCTGTTACAATGGAGTTGATGTTGTCTCTTTGTTTATTCTCAATAAATATTTAGTGAAGTAATGCCATATCTCACACACTATCTTACTCACACTCTACGAAATACGCCTGGAAACCTCTGCCATCTACAAGAAGCTTTTAAAAACAACACTGGTTGAAATTCTTCTTATTCCAGACAGTAGACCCTGATGCATCCTTTACTAATCAAATTAGAGAAAAGAGCTTATGATCCCCAGCGGCTAAGACATCTTATTGCATATTCTGAAGAGTGGGAGATGCATTATCAACATAAATGACACATACCAAACCATTGTCACTATCACATATCCATACTAACTGTAGTGCTGCATCCATGATACAGCAATATTTCTTTCTCAGTTCAAACTGTGGAACTATTATCCTCCCATAAACTATAATACAGCAAGACTTTAGAAACAGCATTCCAAATATCCATAAGCATCTTGAGCTACAATGCCTCTCTATCACCAAAGTTGAAACTTATGTTTGTCCTTCCTGTTTGCAGGCAGCAACTGTGCTCGAGCAGTGTAGCCAAACTAACTTTCAATTACCATGACCTTCCCTACAGAGTTTACATTGCAGGTCACTGCTTTGAAATAAGATAATTCAAGCGAACACCCCTAACAATGTCAATTACCAACATGGTCCCAAAGCACAGTAGTAGAGAAGCTGGCAGTTCTTCAAAGACTAAGAGAAGCACTTCATGTACGTAACTGATAAATTACACACTTAATGTGCGTAATTTATCAGTTAAACTTTATAATAGGTATGTAAAGGAATTATATAAAGGGCTTGCTACTATTCACAGCAGGTCCTTGGAACATATCCCCTGTGGATACAGGGGTCCTACTGTACTTTCACATTGCTGAATTTATATTTGTAAGTAAATATATTTTAGGCAGCTAGCTGTTGCCTGGTTAATCTGTCACCAATATGCAAGTCAAAACAATATAGAGATAACTTTATACATTTATATAACACATTATTGCCCCATATGTTAATATAGAGTATTTACTTTTAATATTTACAGATTTATTCTCAAAAACCTTGAATTCCCTCAAAACAACTCAAGCAGCAGTTCGAAGTTTAAAGGTGAAGCTCTCCAAGAAGCACACCCCGTGCTTGACCTTAGAGGTGGAATTGGTAAGCTTAGTGGATCAAGTACAATGCAGTAGTGGTATTAATGTAATTATGTAGAATTTCTGGAGATTATATTTACAAAAAAAGGTAAAAAATGACAAAGTGAAATATAAAGAATGACAAATTTGATTCGCACCTAAATTAATGTGAGGTCCATTTTTATGACATGGCCACGTAGACTGGTGTTCACATATTTCATGAAATTGAGGGAGGTAAGACAGATGTTTTATCCTTTTCCTCCACATTAGAAGTCATGTCTGAGGGCACTGTGTGGTGTGAATGTAATGCAGAGAATTCGTAGTTTGGAAATTAGGAGGAGGTGCAGGATTACCAGGACTATTATCCAGAGGGCTGAGGATGGATTGTTGAGGTGGTTTGGACATGTAGAGAGGATGGAACAAAGTAGAATGACTTCGAGAGTATATAAATTTGTAGTGGAGGGAAGGCGGGGTAGAGTTTGGCCTAGGAAAGGTTGAAGGGAAAGGGTAAAGGAGGTTTTGTGTGCAAGGGGCTTTGACTTCCAGCAAGCATGCATGAGCATGTTAGATAGGAGTGAACAGAGACAAACTGTTTTTAGGACTTGACATGCTGTTAGAGTGTGAGCAAGGTAATATTTATGAAAGGATTCAGGGAGACTGGCAGGCCAGACTTGAGTCCTAGAGATGGGAAGTACAGTGTCTGCACTCTGAAGGAAGGGCGTTAATGTTGCAGTTTTATAACTAGTGAAAGCTCACCTCTGGCAAGACAGTGATGGAGTGAATGATGAAAGTTTTTCTTTTTCGGGCCACCCTGCCTTGGTGGTAGAATGCCAATGTGTTAATAAAATAAAAAATAGAATCATTATCATAGTTATCTCTCTGTATGTATATGATTATTATTCTTGTGTAAATGCTTTAGTTTCACCCTGCATCCTACTTTTCTGGCTACCACTTATTACTGTACAAGGCACATGGAGAAATTGTTATTACACTAACATCAGTGAATTGTGAAAGCTGATTTCAGTCTTTATTCCTATCATCTTTACCCCATTCTACCAGTCATTTCTCTTCCCTCTTGCACCTACAATGATACTTAGTAATTGTGTTGTGTGTTTATGCATGATAGTTCAGTTGAATATCATATAGCACATGTACAGGGATCACATTTTCAATTACAATTGAAATATTGTACCTACGTCTTAATTGCACAGGAAAATGACCAGTCTGTTATGCTGTATAGTTTGTATTGGAGAAATTTCCTTGACTAGTAGTAAATTGATCTCTTTATATTGAAGACCTGTTTAACCTATTTTCTGTGTTTGGGCTGCTGAAGTGATAAGGATGGCTTTTCTGAGCTCTGAGTAACTTTACCTTCAGGTGAAAGTAGAGCTAGAAGAAGCTAGAAGTGAGAGAGAATTTCTTAGAAAAGAGTACAAGAAACATTCCTAGTACCAGTTTCCAGTTTCATCCATTGGAAACTGAAGAGCAAGATAGGATTAAATCTGAAAATGAAGAAGGTTCAAGAAAGTGCTGTACATATTACAAAATCCTTTGCTGTGTTGCTGGATGAATATAGTTTGACCATTGAGAGTGACACAATGAAGGCTTCTTGTAAAGATAAGAGTGTTGTTTGTGAGAATTTGTAGATTAAATTTATAGACAGGGCTTTTTGTATCAAGGAGAAGAGAAGGGAAAGGATGTGTTTTCCTAGGGCCAGAATGTAGTTAAAAGATAAAGAATCAAACACAAAGTGGGAGTTGTCACAGTTGCTCTTTGCTGATGACACGGTGCTTTTAGGAGATTCTGAAGAGAAGTTGCAGAGGTTGGTGGATGAATTTGGTAGGGTATGTAAAAGAAGAAAGTTAAAAATGAATATAGGAAAGAGTAAGGTTATAAGGATAAAAAGATTAGGTGACAAAGTCTGGATATCAGATTGGAGGGAGAGAGTATGGAGGAGGTGAATGTATTCAGATATTTAGGAGTGGACGTGTCAGCAGATGGGTCTATGAAGGATGAGGTGAATCACAGAATTGATGAGGGAAAAGGGTGAGTGTTGCACTTAGGAGTCTGTGGAGACAAAGAACTTTGTCCGTGGAAGCAAAAAGGGGAATGTATGAGAGTATAGTTGTACCAACACTCTTGTATGGGTGTGAAGCATGAGTGATGAATGTTGCAACGAGGAGAAGGCCGGAGGCAGTGGAGATGCCATGTCTGAGGGCAATTTGTGGTGTGAATATAATGCAGAGAATTCGTAGTTTGGAAATTAGGAGAAGGTGTGGGATTACCAAAACTATTATCCAGAGGGCTGAGGAGGGGTTGTTGAGGTGGTTTGGACATGTAGAGAGAATGGAACAAAACAGAATGACTTCGAGAGTGTATAAATCTGTAGTGTAGGGAAGGCGGAGTAGGGGTCGGCCTAGGAAGGGTTGGAGGGAGGGGGTAAAGGAGGTTTTGTGTGCGAGGAGCTTGGACTTCTAGCAAGCGTGCTTGAGCATATTTGAATGGAGACAAATGGTTTTTAATACTTGATGTGCTGTTGGAGTGTGAGCAAAGTAACATTTATGAAGGGATTCAGGGAAACCGGCAGGCCAGACTTGAGTCCTGGAGATGGGAAGTACAGTGTCTACACTCTGAACGAGGGGTGTTAATGTTGCAGTTTTATAACTGTAGTGTAAAGCACCCCTTTGGCAAGACAGTGATGGAGTGAATGATGAAAGATTTTTCTTTTTCGGGCCACTCTGCCTTGGTGGGAATCGGCCGATGTGTTAATAAAAAAATAATGACTAGAAAACATGACTGGTAATGGGAAAAACCCCCATTATATTTGCCTCAGCACTAGGGAATATTGGGAAGCATAGGAGACAAGCACTGCTTATCATGTACAGTAGGGCCCTGCTTTACAGCGTTTTTGCCTTACGGCATTCTGCTAATATGGCAATTTGAAATTATGAGCAAAACTTGCTATACAGCTCCCCCTCTTTCTAATACGGCGTGCCCCACCTGGTTTGTTTCCATTCTCTGTGAGCACATCTCTCTATTTTGTCTGGAAACTTTCCAAAATTTTAAGTGTTTTAAAATTATTGCATATTTTATATTTACAGTAGGGCCCCACTTATACAGCGGGTTAGGTTTCAGGCTGTCGCCAGAAAGCAGACATCGCCGGAAAGCAGAATGCATTTTTTCCATTTATAAATGCATATAAATGCCAGACAACAAGTTTACACTAAATTATATTAAGTTAGTAATAGAACTAGGCATTAAAAACACAAAAAGTAAAATACATACACAGTACACTCATTACTTATCTTAAAGTATTTGTTATCTTAATGTAGGGAGAGAGGTGAGTAGTATGTACTTATTTGTAGGAAGTCAGGTGTAGGTAGCCCTGGCTCCCCTTCTCATACTTAATATATGATATTTAAAACAGCCCATAGAGTTAAAATACACATACAGTACACTCATTATTTACCTTAAAATATGTGTAGTCTTAATGTAGGAAGAGAGGTGAGTAGTATTTATTTGTAGGCAGTCAGTGTAGGTAGACGGTAGGTGTAGCCCGCCTGGGCTACACCTACCGGCTACCTACACTGTGGCCCAGAGCCACAGTATTAACATCGACATACCTTGTTCGCTGAATTTAATCGTTTCTAACAACTACCTTTAGATGCCATCATAAACGAATGGAGAAGTAATGAATAATTTATGCCGAAAATTATAAACAAAAGCAGAGTGGGGGAGTGGCTGGGCCAAACAGAGATTCATACACGTTTTCTCTGGTGGCTGAGCAGAGAAAACGTAATGTTGTCCCTCTGCCCGGCTACCACACAGGTCCACAAGTATTATTATCAGAGCACATATAAAATATGCAATAAATGCCAGACAACAAGTTTACACTAACTTATATTAAGTTAGCAATAGAAATAGGCATTAAAAACACAATAAAAGGTAAGATACACACAGAGTACACTTATTACTTACTTTAAAATATTAATATTAATGTGTGAGAGGTGAGTGGCAGGGTGTTTATTGAAAAAAATCAGAATGGCACACCATCATCCTCTAACTTGGCACTTAAAGCAAGAGTCTTACGAGTCCTCTTCTTATCACAGCTAAGCTTAGACGAGAGAGGGAACGAGATACAAGGTTCAGACAATGTATATATACAAACCGAACAGGTAGTGGGCGATCACTTTGTCAGGCGAAATAAATGCGTATTAATATGTGTCTACTTTTAGTTCATTCACTTACTTTTGTAAGTTTGTAAAACATTTACCTCAATATTTTTTTATTATAATAATAATTACCTCACAATACAAATACTCTTACATTGTGTACAAGTTGTACAAGTTAGTACAGAATAAACAAACAACAACACACCATTTTTACAGTGAATGAAGATACAGTGGACCCTCAGCTAATGATATTAATCCGTTCCTGAAAGCTCATCGTTAGTTGAAATTATCGTTAGCTGAATTAATTTTCCCCATAAGAAATATTGGAATTCAAATTAATCTGTGCAAGACACCCCAAAGTATGAAAAAAAAAAATTTTTTACCACATGAAATATTAATTTTAATACACACAAGCTGACACTTACCTTTATTGAAGATCTGATTGATGGGATGGGAGGAGGGGAGATTGTGGAAGTTGTTAATGTTTAGAAGGGGAATCCCCTTCCATTAGGACTTGAGGTATCAAGTCCTTTTCCAAGGTTACTTCCCTTCTTTTAATGCCACTAAGACCAGCTTGAGAGTCACTGGACCTCTGTCGCATAACAAATCTGTCTATAGAGGTCTGTACCTCCCGTTCCTTTAAGATTTGCCTAAAATGGGCCACAACATTGTCACTGTAATAGTCACCAGCATGGCTTGCAATAGCTGTGTTAGGGCGATTTTCATCCATAAAGGTTTGCAGTTCAACCCACTTTGCACACATTTCCTTAACCCTTAAACTGTCCAAGCAGATCTGTGTTCACATGCGTAGTGCTCCATAAGTAGATCTACGCTTTTTTACATATTGTCAAATATAAAAAAAAAAAAAAAAAACGTAGATCAAAGTTCTTTTACACGTTTTCAAATGTAAAAAAAGAAAAGAAGATCTACTTTTTTTACGTACTTTCAAATGTAGAAAAAACATAGATCTACGTTTGGACAGTTTAAGGGTTAATATTTGAAGTAGGCACAATGGATTCCACAACTGGCATAGGCGTCTCAGGGTTAGCCCCAAACCCTTCAGAATCTTTCTTAATTTCCATACTAATTCTCACCCTTTTTATCACAGGGTTGGCACTAGAAGCTTTCTTGGGGCCCATGGTGACTTATTTTGCAGGTACAATCACTAAAAAGGCTGTGATAATATGAAATGTTCTGATTGTATGCGTGGATGCGACCGCACTGGTTTGCTTATAAACACTGGCACCCAAGGGACAACTGAGGCATGCTCAGGCAACATGTGGACGTTAAAAAACTCGCTCAACGCGATTCGTTCGAGACGCGTCCACGTGCGGCCTGAGCCCGCCTCATTGGTTCCGTGGGTGCCAGTGTTTACAAGCCAGCCACCGCGGTCACTTCCAAGCATACAATCGGAACATTTCATATTATCACAGCCTTTTTAGTGATTGCACCTGCAAAATAAATCACCATGGGCCCCAAGAAAGCTTCTAGTGCCAACCCTACAGCAAAAAGGGTGAAAATTACTATGGATATGAAGAAAGAGATCATTGCTAAGTATGAAAGTGGAGTGCATGTCTCCGAGCTGGCCAGGTTGCACACAAAACCCCAATCAACCATCGCTACTATTGTGGCCAAGAAAACGGCAATCAAGGAAGCTGTTCTTGCCAAAGGTGCAACTTTGTTTTCGAAACAGAGATCGCAAGTGATAGAAGATGTTGAGAGACTGTCATTGGTGTGGATAAACGAAAAACAGATAGCAGGAGATAGCATCTCTCAAGCGATCATATGTGAAAAGGCTAGGAAGTTGCATGAGGATTTAATTAGAAAAATGCCTGCAACTAGTGGTGATGTGAGTGAATTTAAGGCCAGCAAAGGTTGGTTTGAGAGATTTAAGAATCGATGTGGCATACATAGTGTGATAAGGCATGGTGAGGCTGCCAGTTCGGACCACAAAGCGGCTGAAAAATATGTGAAGGAATTCAAGGAGTACATAGACAGTGAAGGACTGAAACCTGAACAAGTGTTTAATTGTGACGAAACAGGCCTGTTTTGGAAGAAAATGCCAAGCAGGACCTACATTACTCAGGAGGAAAAGGCACTCCCAGGACATAAGCCTATGAAAGACAGGCTTACTCTGTTGATGTTTGCTAATGCTAGTGGTGATTGCAAAGTGAAGCCTTTATTGGTGTATCACTGAAACTCCCAGAGTGTTCAGGAAAAACTATGTCCTCAAGGCTAATTTGTGTGTGATGTGGAGGGCAAACAGTAAGGCATGGGTCACTAGGGACTTTTTCTATGACTGGTTACACCATGCATTTGACCCCACTGTGAAAAATTACCTCCTGGAAAATAAATTGGACCTTAAGTGCCTCCTGGTATTAGACAATGCTCCTGGTCATCCTTCAGACGTGGCAGAGCGACTTTCTGCGGAAATGAGCTTCATTAAGGTCAAGTTTTTGCCTCCTAATACCACTCCTCTCCTGCAGCCCATGGACCAGCAGGTAATTGCAAACTTCACTTTAGCATCCTCAGTTGTGTAAACATTATAGGTAAGGCTTGGGAGGAAGTGACTAAGAGGACCTTGAACTCTGCTTGGAAGAAACTGTGGCCAGAATGTGTAGACAAAAGGGATTTTGAAGGGTTTGAGGCTAACCCTAGGAATCCTATGCCAGTTGAGGAATCCATTGTGGCATTGGGGAAGTCCTTGGGGTTGGAGTTTAGTGGGGAGGATGTGGAAGAGTTGGTGGAGGAGGACAATGATGAACTAACCACTGATGAGCTGCTAGAGGCCACACCTGAGGAAACTGCTCCGGAGGAGGGGATAGAGAAATTGAAGAAGTTGTCTGCTTCAAAGATTAAGGAAATGTGTGCAGTGTGGCTTAAAGTGCAAACCTTTTTTGATGAAAATCACGCTCAGACAGCTATTGCAAGCCGTGCTGGTGACTATTACACTGACGATGTTGTGAAACACTTTAGGAATGTCATAAAGGAATGGGAGGTACAGATATGTTGGACAGATATGTTGTGCAACAGAGGTCCAGTGACTCTCAAGCTGGTCCTAGGGGCATTAAAAGAAGAAGGGAAGTAACCCCGGAAAAGGACTTGCCACCTCAAGTCCTGATGGAAGGAGATTTCCCTTCTAAACATTAACACCATCCACACACTCCCCTCCTCCCATCCCATCAATCATCACCAGATCTTCAATAAAGGTAAGTGTCATGTAACTGTGCATGTCTTCTTCAGTTTGTGTGTATTAAAATTAATATTTCATGTGGTAAAATTTTTTTTTTTCATACTTTGGGGTGTCAGGAACTGATTGATTTGATTTCCATTATTTCTTATGGGGAAAATTAATTCGGCTAATGATAATTTCGCCTAACATTGAGCTCTCAGGAACGGATTAATATCGTCAGGCGAGGGTCCACTGTATTCTGTTAGGTAATGTAATTAAAAAAAACAGTTTGATAGGATCACAGGTAAAACATTTATGAGATACAGTTATTCAGTATTTATTTAGTTGTGGGTGAGTAAGTGATTAAGTTATTATTATTATTATTATTATTATTATTATTATTATTATTATTATTAATATTATTATTATTATCATTATTATTATTATCATCATTATCATAATTATTATTATAATTCATATTATTATTATCATAATAACTGGAGAAGAGAGGAATGCAGAGGAGAGAGAGATTTTGGGAGAAGTTAAGTGAATGTATAGGAGCCTTTGAACCAAGTGAGAGTGTAATGTGGTAGGGGACCTGAATGCTAAAGTAGGAGAAACTTTAGAGAGGGTGTGGTAGGTAAGTTTGGGGTGCCAGGTGTAAATGATAATGGGAGCCCTTTGATTGAACTTTGTATAGAAAGGGGTTTAGTTATAGGTAATACATATTTTAAGAAAAAGAGGATAAATAAGTATACAAGAATGATGTAGGGCGAAATGACAGTACTTTGTTGGATTATGTATTGGTAGATAAAAGACTGTTGAGTAGACTTCAGGATGTACATGTTTATAGAGGGGCCACAGATTTTATCAGATCACTTTCTAGTTGTAGCTACACTGAGAGTAAAAGGTAGATGGGATACAAGGAGAATAGAAGCATCAGAGAAGAGAGAGGTGAAGGTTTATAAACTAAAAGAGGAGGCAGTTAGGGTAAGATATAAACAGCTATTGGAGGATAGATGGGGTAATGAGAGGCATAGGCAATGGGGTCGAAAAGGTATGGGGTAGGGTTTTAAAAATGTAGTGTTAGAGTGTTCAGCAGAAGTTTGTGGTTACAGGAAAGTGGGTGCGGGAGGGAAGAGGAGCGATTGGTGGAATGATGATGTAAAGAGAGTAGTAAGGAAGAAAAAG